GATACTGGACGGGATACATCATCGGCTGCTGCTGGTATGGCAGACCGGGTGGTGGGTATCCCGGTTGTATGTAATTCACCGGCTGCTGGGCGGCCGGGTATGTATTCGACGGATGTGGTGGTGAGAGATTGAGGTTGAGGTCCATTGTCTGACCCTGCTGTTGGGTAGCATAGTGGTCGGAGGAGCTCGCCGCATCCGCCTGGTCGTCGGCGAAGTTGTTGTGTGCCCACGGATACATGTCGATATGGTGATCGGGTGCTCGTCATGACGTTGGTTTCTTGCACGGGTCCCCACAGACGGCGCCAAAATGATACTGCTAATTATGGGTAAGCAATATAGAATAACACGAGACCAATTAAAGCAAGTAAAATCTTTATTGATCACGGTAAAGGCCCTAAGTACAATCTACTTGGTTGCTCTGAGTACCGACTGAGTGCGGTCGGGATTCTCTAATAACAACCTATCGATCGTCCCAAAAGTCCCTTACACTGTAGCTACTGTGGGTATTTATAGCCGCTATGCCGGGGACAGGATTCCAGCCGTTCGGCATGTCCTCCACGTAGCCACCACGTGTCATCCTCCCGGGTGCCCTGCCTGTCGATGTAAAGAGCCGCCACGTGTCCTTCGTCAGCTCTTTCGCCAAAGGGCTACCGCTCGGTGGTCGACACCGTTGCTCGGGCAACTCTGGTCGGTCTACGACCGGGTTCTTCTCGTGGAGCCCGACCTGTTACCTGCAAAGACAAGGAGAAAGAGACAAAGGCTCCTCGGTCGTGGTGAAGCTATGTCGGTCGGGATATTCCCTACCAAGAACTTTATGTTCATAATTTTTGAACTTCATATTCACAATTATTGAAATCTATATTCACAATTACAGAACTCTGTTCATAATTATAGAACTCTAATTGGATAATAATTCACATTGTAAGGTGGATTCAGTCCATGACATAACTATTGTTGAATATGTGAATTCAACTTAATTAATTACACAACTTGTGATTCCAAAAAAGTTAGTTACACAACTTGTCGCAGTTGACAAAGAATGACACAAAATTAAGCAATTGTTTTAATTCTAGACATTCGTCCAAAATTTATGTATCTGCTGTTGTCCTATTATATATTTGCAGTTAACAATTATGTGTTTATAAATAAATTAATTGTACATAACATATTAATTACAAACACATAATATGATAATTACATACATAATATGTTAAATGCAAACACATAATATTTTTATTAGTTAACATATTATGTGTCTGCAGTTAACATATTATGTGTTTGTAGGTAAAGTGTTATGTAGCGTTTCAATTTATTTACAAACGCATAAACTGTAATGATATATAAAAAATATGTCAAATGCAAACACATAATCTGAAAATTATTTTGGATTAAAATTCACAATGTAAGCTAGGCCTTGATCCATGTATAATTTGCCCAAAATTAAATTTTTTTTGAAAGGACCCAAACTTAATTATTCATGCCATTTTTCTTTCTCTCTTTAATGAAATTAAAATTCCATAATGGCTGCCGGCTGCCTAACTTGGTTTCATTCTTTCTTCAACCCATTTGACGGTGTTGTTGTTGTTGTTGTTTTTTTTTTTTTTTTTTTTTTTTTTTTTTTTTTTTTGAGATAATATATATAAAAAAATGCCCTCTAAAGATCCTCATCTAGTGGAGGCTATAGCCATGAAGGAAGCTCTCTTGGATTCTCGAACAAGGTTGTTCTAATATTGTGTTGAGATCGGACTGTCAAATGATTTGCAGATTCCTCAATAATGATTTACCAGACTATTCTTATGCAGGTTGTATCTTCAATTAGTGTCGGGTCTTAAAACGACACTTTGAATCAGTGTCCATTCAGTATGAGAATCGATCAGTGAATAAGCTTGCTCATTGTTAGCCGGAGTTGCTTGTTCTCAACCTGGTCATCTTTCTTATTTTTCTACTATTCCAGCTTGTATTGAACATCTTATTGCTTGATTTTAATGAAGTTATTTTTCTTTTAAAAAAAAAAATCCCCTGACCTCTTGAGTATATATAATTTTTACTTTAGTCATCGACTATCAATTCATCTAAAATATTCTTTAACTATAAAAGGAATTTACTCATTTTAGTACATCAGATGATAAAATTGAGTAAATCTTTTTTTTTTTTTTTTTGAATTTACCGACCTATTCAAGAGGGAGCAATTATGATGAAGACCACACTCAATGTAGGCTTGGCTCTACACTAGTATAAGTAGGAAACCATGATTTTTTTTTGTGGTGTAAAAATCGAGGTGGTCCGGGTTTTTCTCTGTCCGAGGCTATCTCGGAATTCTCTATCACAAAGAGAGTTCATTTGTCAATTGAGCTACCCCATTGGGTTGCCAAGGGCATGCACTAATTCTTGTAATCAACACTCTAAGCAATACTAACTATGATTACTTTCCAAATATTATCCGATGACATATTTACCATCAGTGTGCATTAGAAAAACCATTCTCATGTATAATAGTCAATGAATCACACGAAAGAGATGAACCGCACTAGGAAGATCTTGTTAATTAGATGGGCGACTGAGAGGATGTTGGCAAAAATTGAACTTGTAATCATTAGGTATATATGGAGTCATGCATTCATGCTCTACCCATTCAACTACCCTTTTAGAACAAATACAAAAATTTCTATTAATATTTTTTTAATGAATTAATATTTGATGACCAAATTAGGAATTATAACATGGTCAAATGATCATTTTAAGTATTGATTTTTTTTTTTTGGGGGGTGGGGCGGTGAAACAACTTTCATTATCAAGTGATAAATTTATTAGTATTAATTCGTGGTACAAAAAGTCAATAATATTCCACTTAACATATGTGATGCATTTATATATATTAATTTTACTATAAACATAGGATTTAATTATATGTCGATTTAACCATATATGTCGGTCCATGCAGAACAAACTCAATTACTAATGGTGCAAAATTTCTTCCTTTGAATTAATTAGGAGAAACCCACTAACAGTTTCGTTATATCGTGAATCGAATTCATCATGTACATTATAGACCTTAGCCCGGATATTATATTTGTTGTTAACATATTATGTAACTCATTTTATTTCCTTATATTCACATATCATGAATTTTGAACAATGTACTCAAATGTAACGTGGACGCTTCTGTTTTGAGTAATGGTGCTGGCTTTGGCGCTGTGATGCGTGACCATGAGGGTGCATTTGTTGCAGCTAAATGTGGACAATTAGTAGGTGAGGAGGATCCGTTTATCTGGGAGTCAAGGAGGCTTTGGTTTGGATTAAGACGCAAGGTTACAGCAATGTTAATTTAGAATCAGACTGTTTAAATTTTTGTACTGCTTTCAATTCGAGTTTTTCTGATTTTTCTTATGCTGGGTTGTTTGTGAAGCAATGTAAGTCGATTGCTAGCGATATTGGGAATGTTACTGTATCCCATATTAGGAGGTCAGCGAATCGTGTGGCTCATGAGCTTGCTCAGGCGACCGTTTCTAAGTCTGTCTCAGTAGTGTGGACTGGTGTTCCACCTGATTGTATTACGCACTTATTCTGATTAGTAATGGAATCTTCGTTTTTGCGTTAAAAAAAAAAAAAATCGTGCAAAATTTCTTCCTTTGAATTAATTAGGAGAAACCCACTAATAGTTTCGTTATATCGTGAATCGAATTCATCATGTACATTATAGACCTTAGCCCGGAAATTATATTTGTTGTTAACATATTATGTAATTCATTTTATTTCCTTATATTCACATATCATGAATTTTGAACAATAATGTTAAATTATGTACATAATATATTAACTGCATATACATAATTTGTATCATAATTTATAATGTGTATGATAAACTGATACACAATATAACTTGAATTAGCTATATAGGTATGAGTTAGGCCTATAAACGAGCCGAGTTGAACACAAACTCAATCAAACCTTAAAATTGAAATTCGAACTCAGCTCGATTGACACTAATGTTTGAGCTCTAGCTTGTTTGAGATAAACTAGATTGGCTCGTCAATCTGTACGCAGATTTCAAGCCTTCGTCGTCGTCAGCCTTGAGGCTTGGCTACATTATATTGTCTTTTGCTAGATTCGCCGTTGACCGTCGGATTCGCAATGAGTCATCGATTGTCTCTCGCAAGCAACTTCACTCATTGCACACCTAGTGTGGATTATTTCTCATTTTAATTAATTTTCGGAACAAGTATCAAATATGTCACTGAGCTTATTTTTTTTTGTGCAATTGAGTTATTGAATTTAAAAAGTGCGCAATTTTACCATCAAACAAGCAGAATATGTGTAATTGAGACATTTATATGATTTCTTTTAATGTAATTTAAATTAAAAATATTTCGATCTTTCATCTCAACTAATATGATTTAGGAAAAACAAATCTTAGTATATACCATGTTATCCTATCCATCCATGCAATTAATTTGATCGAATTTTACTGGGAAAAAAAATTATCACAATTGAACATATTTTACTTGGCAATAACGCTTCCATTGAGACAACTTACAACCTCCCATATAGGAGTCCAACTCGGGTACCATATGTGCACAAGGTGCTTAACATTTTACTTGCTGATTTAATTGCATATTTTTTAAGTTTAATATATATATAATCTAATTACATAAAAACTAGGAGTATAATTTTAGTGAACTATTTTACACTTTTTCTTAAATTTAAAGAAAATTAATTTCTCATGGCTTCCTCAGCTAACGTCAACATCTATAAAAACCCATGCATGCATTCATTCACCAGTCACCACTACAACTCATTCCAAACATGGCCGCACCAAAAAAGTGTGCCATTCCCGCGTTTACTGCCAATTCTGCTGATCCTAATGGCGTCTGTCGCGGCAGCATCGTGGTGGCAGAAGCTCGTAGTCTCTTAAACCTCAACCCTCGGAACCCACCCCCTCCTCCGCCACCTCCGCCACCCCCGCCTCCCCCAGTAGTGATTCTTCCGCGCTGCCATCAGTACTGCCTCCGGTGAACATCCCGCCGCTGCCATCAGTACTGCCTCCGGTGAACATCCCGCCGCTGCCATCAGTGACTCCGGTGAGCATTCCGCCGCTGCCATCACTGCCTCCGGTGAACATCCCGCCGCTGCCATCACTGCCTCCGGTGAACATCCCGCCGCTGCCATCAGTGCCTTCAGTGACTCTTCCTCCAGCGAGTCTTCCGCCGCTGCCATCAGTGCCTCCAGTGCGTCTTCCATTAGTGCCTCCAGTGACTCTTCCTCTTCCTCTTCCTCTTCCTCTTCCTCCACTGCGTCTTCCAGTACTGCCTCCAGTGCGTCTTCCGCCGCTGCCATCCACTGGTGCCTCCGGTGACAATCCCGCTGTTCCCGCGGCTACCATAAACGATGGAGGACCGTACCGCATTTGAGCTAAGCTCCATGGCTTGCCGGCCCGCCCTATATCGTCTCAAATACTCACTATATATTATCATCTTCTCCGATCCCCTTTGCTTTATATAAGTATCCCTCTCTACTACATATAATATTTTCCTTATTTTACTTTCTATGCCCCTCTGTAGTCCGTACCGTACGCACGTAATAATATTGGAATAAACGGCGAGCCACTTATATATATACATCTTCATATCTATCATTCTACGATTTTATGCCCGCAAACACTATATGGTTTGCTTCAAGAAACATTAATTAGTTGGAACAAGATTAGCTTTCATTTTCATTTTTTAAAAGCAAATTAAAACAAAGCTTCATTGAATTAACAAAATCTAAAATAAAGATGGGAGGAATATAATGGATCCATATGATTCAATTCGACCATCATCAGTTCCATTAAAGCTAGTTCATGAGTAGAAGTTTGACATCAAATTAAATATCACAAGCTCCACAATCTTTTGAAAAACTGATGTGTAATTTAATTATTGTCCACCCTGCGAGAAGTCAATGTTTGTTGCATCCCACTCTAAACAGTTCGCACTCCATACTCCAACCTTATAAAAAATGTATTACATATTTGCATATCAGTGATTCACTTTACTAAGGTGGATCATATAGTCCATGATATAATGATATCAAAACAGCAATATGAAGCCCAAAAGATACTAACTTTCATCAACAGTACGTATAACGTGGTACCTTCTAATCTTCTATTATATTCTATGAATATATTTCCTACTTTTGTAATGGATTGGAATGAAATATTATCACTATATTAAGAAAGTTGGGGATGAAGGTCTAATATGAATTAGGCCTGGGTCGGCCTAGAACCACAAACCTATCAAACTAGGTTGTTTCAATATCTGACATTCACATTCTACTTAAGAGAAAATTTCAATTTTGGGCATGTGACTATTAGGGTATTGTTAATTTTAATCAACGACTTTCAAAACTGTTAATTTAGTACCTTAACTATTCAATTTTTATCAATTTTGGTCACTCCGATCAATTTGCCGGCCAAATCTCGCTGAAATCTTTTAATTAACCAATTAATGTTTATTGTGAGGGGTAATTTAGTCATTTGCTCATCTTTTCTTCTCCTTTGCCCCGGTAGCCATGGAAGACGACGAAGAAACAAGATCCTTCTACGCCGGAGCCGCTCAACCACCAGCGTAGTAACCTTCTCATTTATACGATCATTCACACCTTCCCCCGGCAGACACTCCCGACATTCTTCTCCGACCAACCAACCAGCGCGCCCCGACGGACCAATCCTAGATTTCAACGCTAAAAGAGCGTCGCCGTCGCCGCCGCAGGACCTCATCGCTGGAAAATCAAGAAACACCAACGCTAATGAGCTGAAACGACCCATCTGATGATGACGATGGAGAGAAAAAGAAGAAAAAGCTCAAATCGTTTCAAACTAAAATCAATACATGTATAGTACAGTAATTTAGCTTTATCAGGCATTCAGGGGAAGATCATTATCAAGAACCAAATCTCCAGATCTAAGAAGTATAGGCGTGAGGCTAGTAGGTGACGATTACGATGGAGATGGAGCTTTGTCCATTTTCTGTGCGGAGCCTCTTCCTGGCCGGAATTGGGTTGTCACCGGCGGACAGCTCCGCCACCGTGCTACTGAATTTTCAGGCGGCAAATATCAATATCAATAACCCACGCTGCTGAATTTCCACGGGCTGTCTTGCTATCGGAAATAAATTCTAATTCTAATCGTATTGCTACCTATTCAATCGTGTGCGTTCTCATCTTGAATTCGATCGATTTGACGGAGCCGACGACAATCACTTTCCCCTTTTCGTTTAAACATGAAATGACAATATTACTCCCATCATTAAACAAATTAAACTGAATTAAAAGATTTCGGCGAGATTTGGCCGGCAATTTGGCCGGAGTGACCAAAATTGATAAAAATTGAATAGTCAAGGTACTAAATTAACAGTTTTGAAAGTCGTGGACTAAAATTAACAATACCCCAATAGTCACATGACCAAAATTGAAATTTTCTCTTCTACTTAATTAATTACAGACTCGATTGTCTCTGTTTAATTGCTAGAGAGCGACAGATAATTAAATCTTCAAACCGTTTTTCTCTCTCTTAATTGAAAATGCCGTAATGACTGCGGCTTCCCCAACTCCGTACCTTTCTTTTTCAGGAATACTTTTTTTTTTTTTTTTTTTTTTTTTTTTTGTTGTTGTTGTTGTTGTTGTATATATACCACATCAAATGTATGAGACTAATTTATATTTAGTTTTGATCACACTAATTCAATCATTCTTCCAAAAGGCTGAACCCCAACCCTAAGGGCCCCCACAACCCCGACCTAACAGAGCATTTGGGAGGATACACTAGATTCAATCATTATTGTATGGACAATAGTTCACGCAAGTTGTGTGGGTCATATTTTGTCTATTGTAAAATAATGTATAGTACATAATGTACATTTAATACAAAAATAATGTACATTCAGTACAAAAAATAATATACATTATATTCAGGAGATATACATTATTATTGTTCTAAGTGAATATTATATTGTATAATGTACATTTAGTATATTAATTAAAAATGTACTTTTTGTTATGGTGCACAAAATAATTTGCCCATTACATTATTCTTGGCTTGTAGTTTGTATTGGGCATTTAATTTGCTCATCGATCAATTGTTTTAAACTATTAAGCTTAATTAGATGGTGAATATATTAGACCTTACCTAAGTTTTTAAGCCCAAGAGGCTGGCCTAGTGCAGACCCAAGGCAAAACATGCAGATTAAGGGCCAATCTTGGGTTGATGGTAAATTTTATTGTGGATCATAGTCTACACATTCACAGAACAATCGTTATGCGTTGGACCTGTGTAACAGTGCCGTTAGGCACTGTTATTTCCTTCCCTTTTTTTTTTTTTTTTTTTTTTTAATTTCAGACCGCTTCATTGTAAGAGTATATGTTCATAATTTTATTCCTATATGTTAATAACTATACATTCATAACTTCATAACTGTACGTTCATAACTCTATAACTGTATATTCATAACTCCATAACTGTATATTCATAACTCCATAATTGTACATTCATAATTTTCGAATCTCTATGTTCACAATTTTAGAGCTCTATGTTCATAATTTTATCACTATATGTTCATAATTGTAAGTTCATAATGTTAGAGCTCTTTGTTCATAATTCGATCAATAACTGTACATTCATAATTCCATACTGTAGATTCATAATCTCATAACTGTAGATTCATAACTCCATAACTGTAGATTCATAACTCTATAACTGTACATTCATAACTCCATAACTGTACATTCATAATCTTCGAAGCTCTATATTCACAATTTTAAAGCTCCATGGTCATAATTTTATCACTATATATGTTCATAATTGTAAGTTCATAATGTTAGAGCTCTGTGTTCATAATATAATTTTATAATTGCATAACTGTATATTCATAACGGCATAACTGTACATTCATAACGGCATAACTGTACATTCATAACGGCATAACTGTACATTCATAATCCAAAAAAAAAAATAACGCCGTTAACGGCAAAACACGCACGATTTTTTTTTTTTTATAACTAAATGACGCGTTTTTTTTTAAAAACGACGTCGTTTTGGGCCCGTGTCCACAATTCAATGTGGACACGGGTCCAGGGCATAATTTGCCTTCACAGAAATTGTGAACTTTATGCATAGACATGATTTATTGAATATAAAAAAATTTAAGTAAAGGGAAGTGACGTGCTAAACTGCTAAATAAACCCAATTATGCTGCCTCCACAAAAAATGAACTTCATTTACAACAAAAATAGCCTAAAATATACATATCTGTTGTAATTATATATTAATGGTGACCATTATTTTGTAACGTTTGTAACAGACATATTAATGTCTCATTATGTATGCCATTATTACTCTATATTATATATGTGTGTAATCCTTTTGTAAGATGAAGCCATGGAAATGAAATTATATCACTCCCTTCTCCTTCTCTATTACTTTTCTTTCTACTACCTTTGATCAATGAGTTATTCTTTGAGCAATGAGCTAATGGCTTACAACACGTTATCGGCACTTGCAACTAACATACTTCTCGGTGAACGGTATGCTAATTTTTCTTATCATTCCTAATAATTGTTCAAATTGCATACTTACACTCTACAATCTTGTTGATTTGAAGTATATCCTTTAAAATATACATGCGATTTGTATTAGTACAGTATGAATGTTTGTATATGCTATGATATCTACCTAGTTGAATATGCATATCTTTTGTTTTCATCTTATACATACTACAAATTCAAGATTGTAGTAAGTTTGGCTGAGTGAAAACTGTTTTATCCACTCGCATATGCCATTAATGAAGAACAAGAAATCTTGTGTTTTCGAAAAAAAGAGGTGTATATTCGATATGCCATATTATATATACCTCCTTCGAACAATTATTTTTGTTTCGAAAACTGTTTTTTTTCAGATTGTAATACAAATTTCTGAAATATTTATCCTTATTCTCAAAAATTTATATAATTCAAAAGTAAATCACAGCCTGAGATTTCAACGTGAATTGCGGAATAAATAGCAGATTTTGTACAAATCTGAGAGAATTGTTTCGATCTTTTCGAAACATATATAAATAATTTTATACCTAATGGATTCAACTGAAATCAACAAACTTCATTGTTGAGCTGATTTCTCGCCCATGAGGCTAGGCTTCCCGGCTCTCATTCCGGCAGACGGTGGAGCTGCGGTTGTTTTCTCCGGTTTGGCGCCGGCGATGGTGAGAGAGGGTGGAGACCGAGACGGTGGCGAGCGGACGTGCTGGCTCCGGCCGGACTCCCTTTCGACGTCTCTCCCTTTCTTGCATGTTTTCTCGGTTTTATTAAGCTGCTGCGTTTTGACTTTTGAATTATGTGAAGGCAGCTAGGGTTGAGGAGACTAGGTTTAATCCATAACAGGGAATATGGCCTTGGGCCGGGTCTGGCCCAATTCAGCCAGACCCGGGCTTATTAATACAAATGTTTTGAACTTATATTGCTGGACTCATTTATTTGAACAAAATGGATGGATTATTATGTTGGCCAAAACTGGCCCATTTGACTAATTAGTTTGGGTCAATTTGGTTTATTTAGAGCATTAGGGCTTGCTTTAAATTCTAGACCCATT